GTTTCTTCAATAAATGGTGTTGGGAAAATTGGACAGACACATGCAAAAGAATGAAACTAGATCACTAACTTACACCATTCACAAAAATAAACTCAAAATGGATACAGGACTTAAACATCAGACGGAAAACCATAAAAATACTAGAAGCATCCACAGGAAGCAAAATCTCAGACGTATGCCAAAAGAACTTCTTCACCGATACTGCCCCTAGGGCAATGGAAGCTAAAGAGAAAATAAACAAATGGGACTTCATCAAAATAAAAAGCTTTTTTACAGCAAAAGAAACCATCAACAAAACAACAAGAAAGCCCACGGTGTGGGAGAACATATTTGCAAATAATACCACTGATAAAGGTTTAATCTCCAACATTTACAGACAGCTTATACAAATAAATAAAAGGAAGATGAATGATCCAATTAAGAAATGGGCAATGGATCTAAATAGAATATTTTCAAAAGAAGACAGAAGGAAGGCCAAAAGGCACATGAAAACATGCTCAAAGTCACTAATTGTCCGAGAGGTGCAAATCAAAACAACAATGCGGTACCATCTCACACCTGTCAGAATGGCCAACATCAACAAATCAACAAATGACAAGTGTTGGCGAGGTTGCGGAGAAAAAGGAACCCTCGTGCACTGCTGGTGGGAATGCAGACTGGTACAACCACTGTGGAGAACAGTGTGGAGTTTCCTCAAAAAACTGAAAATGGAACTCCCATTTGACCCAGTAATCCCACTTCTAGGAATATATCCCGAGAAACTAGAAACACCAATCAGAAAGGATATTTGCACCCCTATGTTCATAGCAGCACAATCTACAATAGCCAGAATTTGGAAACAGCCTAGGTGCCCGTCAGCAGATGATTGGATCCAAAAACTATGGTACATTTACACAATGGAATACTATGCGGCCATAAAAAAGAAGGAATTCACATCATTTGCAGCAACCTGGATGGAATTGGAGAACATCATGCTGGGTGAAATAAGCCAATCAATGAAGGAGAAACACCACATGACCTCACTCTTTGGTGGATGATAAAGATCATTATAAACTGATGAACCAAGAGACAGATATAGAGAAAGTAAAGCAACAGGCAGACTGTCAAATAACAGTGGGAAGGGGAGGAAGATCTGGAGGAGATAACAGATCAACCGAAGGACTTGTGTACATGCATATAAGTACAACCAATGGACACAAAACTCTGGGGAGGGAGGGGATGTGTGGGAGGGAGGGAGGGGGGCAAAAAAATTAATAAAATATGTAAAAATAAATAAATAAATAAATAAATAAATAAATAAATAAATAAAGGTTAGTTGTAATTTCTCCAGTAAAAGGAGCATTAGGGCCATTTTGTATCACACTATCACGCAAGGCCTTTATCATTTTGAAGTAAAATATTTCATGCTGTCTTATTATTTGATTTTGGAATTACGGGTTAGTTACCTGTATAATAGGAAAAACAAGTCTATTCTTCACTGTCATCCTTTAATCCTTCTCGGGTAGCTCTTTGCATCGGTGATTCTATTAGTGGCGATTTAAATGTTTCAGAATCAGGATAAGGCCACTTCTCCAATTTATCTTTCTGCTTCTCTTCAGGAATGGAGGGTGCATAGGGAGGAGGTCTTTCTTCTCTGAAAGGCTCTAGCAAATGCAATACCATTTCCCACAAGGAGAAACAATTTGGAGGCAAACTTTTCCCCTGCTGCTGAGCTTCTTTCAAGTTTTGACCTATTCTTTCCCAACATTCAACATCCAATGTACCCTCATCAGAAAACAATGAATTATCTACCCAATAAAAGGGTAACATGCTAATTGACCATACCTTTGCAACGCCCACCAGCCAATCAAGAGTGAGTATGCAAATAAACTGAACAAAGATGGTGGGTTAATTTACATATGTGGGCACTGAGCAGCCAGGGGTGGGGTGGGATGCTTGTGTTGGTGACGATGCATGCATTCTGCACGCCCCCAGCTGCTCAGGGCCTCTGAGAAGCATAGGAAGGCGGAAAGGTGGGAGGCTCTGGGGCAGAAAGGCGGCTCTGGCCAGAGGGAAGGCAGTGCCTGCAGCCAGAGAAAGGAAGTCCCATTCTGGCACAAATCTTCATGTACGGGGCTTGTAGTATTCTAAAATAGGCTATAGAAACTGTAAAAGAAGATCTCCTGACACTGCAATTCCCTTATCCTTGAACATGCAAGCCAAAAGTCTACAAGAAAGTCCCCTTTCAACGAATTCTGTCCCATTATAATCTGACTGAAACAAAAGAAATTACTTGAGCACTTACAAATCTGTGGGTTTCTGCAGCTGACACGAGTTTTACATTCCGTTAATCTTCCACCTTCGGACCAGTGATTTCTTTCTCTGCTCTGGTGAATTCTTTTTCTCCAAGTTGCAGTTCAAGGATGCCAAATGTGAAGCCATGGCCCATGTGGCCTTGGGTTCAAAGACTTGGAGAAAGGGCTGACATGTAAATTAGTATACAAGACAAGAAATGGAGAAAGAAGAATTTGAAAAACCAAACGGGGGAAGCCAGTTGTGAGCTTGGTACAAGGGACCAGGTTCCACTGAGTCTCCATTCCCATCTGCTTTTATTTACTAGAATACACAATTACCTTTTAGGAATGCAAACAGACATGTCAAAGGTGATGTTTGGCAAACAGTAAGATTATCAGGTTGGGGGAGTTTGCTTTAGGCCATCAGTCATTAGCAGTAGGTAATAAAATGCAAATATTCAACCCTGCGAATATCAAAAAGCCCCATTTGGCCTTCTGACCAGACTTCTTGCATTTATATTAATTGCTGTTGATCTTGGCTCCTGGCAGATACAAATAATTAGTATTTTGATTCCATTCTGAATGCCTATGGATTTCCATTTGGAACAAGTGGTTTGTGAATTGGAAATGTGTTGCGTTGTTCCTTTTGAGGCTGAATGTAGCTTGAAATCAGAGCATCATCTCTGCCTATTCAATGGGCTTGTCCGTTCCTTGATCTCCTGTGGCTTACACATGGAGTCATCCGACACCGACCCGTCACTCAGGGCGTGTCTGATGGGAGGCAGCACGACCGGCACAGGACGGGGTGCAGAGCTGCCGGGCTGGCGGCCTCAGGGAGGGGTGCTGAGGGTCAGTGGACCTTCCAGAGGTCAGTGATTGTTCATTTGGAGAAAGTCACCATGAAATGTCACTGGACAAAAGGCAGCCAGTCTTCTTTCTCCATTGACTTTTTCCCCCATTTATTTCTCCTTTGCTAGTAAAATCTTTTTATTTTTATTATTGTGGGCGAAAGAAACCACATACTAACCTGACAAGCTCAGGGAAGGCCTGCGTGGCAGTCTTGCAAACTCGGAGACCTAAAATAACCACAAAAGATGGTTTGAAAATTAAATATTTAACTACAAACAAGTTATAGTGGGTAGTCATGTCGTAGGCCGATATTTTCCCAAAGATCAACTTGGGTCTTCTTTCCTGAGCCCATTTGCCTTTTGCCTCTAAGATAACACATCTGTGAGATGTCTGGGTAACTTGTAACTTCCCTTTTTCTGGAGCCCCTGGGGCACAACCAAATGTGGTGGGCGCCAGGACAGATGCCTCAAATTCCTTCTTTATCATGTTAATTGTTCCTGTACTCACCTAAGTGTGTGTCCATCGTTTTACTTTTTATCCAATCCCAGGGGTTTCCCACCACTTTGCTTTCTCCGGCCTCCTTACTCCATCACCAATGAATTTCATGTAACCCACCTATGTCCCTCCTTTGATTGCAATGTATAAATACAGATGTGTAACCTGCCATTCTCCGGAGCATTATCTCAATCCGTTAAGGTTCTGCTTCTCGGCATATGTTGACAGTTTGGCTCAGATGAACTCACACAAATTCTTTACAGGTTTCAATGGTTTTTTTTTTTTGTTAACATTTTTTTTTAAATGTATTTTTTAGTGTTGATAGTATTACAGATGTCCCCATGCCCCCCAGGCCTTCACCACCCGATGGCCTGTGCCCATGGGTTACACACATCGGTATATAAGGTCTTCAGTTTCTCTCTTCTCGGCCCCTGCCCCCACATCGAGGTGTGCCAGTCTGGTCCGCGCCTCCCTGCTTCAGGTCTTATTTTGTTGGTCAATTCTTTTTTTGTTCATTAGATTCCACTAGTAAGTGAGATCGTGTGATATTGTTTTTTTCTCAGTTTGGCTTATTTCACTTAGCATAATATTTCCCAGCTCCTAAAAACTTTTAAAGAGCACTTCTACTCACTGTTTGTACCCAGTGTGTGGGTGGGTTTGGGGAAGGGGTGATGGTCATTTTTAAATACAACTTCTGGTGCCCTCTAGTGGCCCGGAAGCCTGAACGTTGGCTGCAGGCGAGCTCTGTGCACCAGGCCTTCAGCCCTGCTGTGCAGGCTCAGCTCCCCAGCCTCAGGAAGGGGCCTGTCCAGGCAGAGCCTACAAGGCCCGTGACCCTGAAATGAACCCCCTTCTGCCTCTGCAGTGCGTGGGAGGGCCCTGTGCCCGAGGAAAGAAGGGGTCACTGTGGATCCCAAACACACCAACCGGCGTGGTGAGTGACGCCCGTCTCCATGCTTCCGGCTGCCCACCTGACCCCCACACACAGACTGGGCCCTCTCACAGTGACAATGAGAGGCGGACTGAGTGGAGTTGCATCCACTTGGAATCCGGGAAGCTGGGCTGGCATCCGGCCATGCATGTGGCCAGCACCCTCCCTCCCTCCCCCTCCCCCCACACCTGCACCTCCACGCACGAGGCTGGGCCTGCCCTCCAGAGCGCAGCTGGGCTCTCGGAGGGAGGAGACGGGAAGTGTGGCTGCCAGTGGGTGGCAGAGGACATGGCTAACAAGAGGGCTGCTGCTGGGAGAAGTCTGGGCCGGGGAGGACTTTTCCCAGCTGGCAGGACCCCGGGGAGCGAGATCTAAAGTCTCCCCATCTATTCGACTCCTTCCCTCCGCCTGAAACCCACACCCGATGACCATGGCGCACTCACACGTGGTTGCTCATTCTGCCTTTTATTTTTACAAAGCGTGGCAGCACCGGAGACACCGGGCAGCAATGAGCCTGCCCTCTGGGGCCACCCTGACAGAGGCTTGTAGGGCTGGTCCTTGTGGGGGGTGGTCCCCGTGAGTTCCTTCACAGGGACCTGTCTCTGACATGCTTCTCGCGGTGGGGGTGGGGTAAGACGAGAAATCAACACCCACAATTATTCAAATGCTAACACAATATACATAGGACCTCCGTTATCCTAGTACAAAAATAGTGCCAGAAACTATATATTTGTTCAAATATGCTGAAAAGGTATAAGAATACAAATAGATATGAACAGTGGCTAGTGAGGACTCATAAGGTTTTCTTGTCTTAACCTGGAATAGAAATTTCTATTTTCAAGATTTCCACGGCTTTCCACAGATTCACCCGGACGCGTCCACAGGCCTCAGGAGGGGGTGCAGACGGCGTGAGCGCCACCCTCCCTGCCGCTCCCGCAGCAGCCGCACCCGCCCGTGGCCAGGCGGCGGCGACTGGGCCCGGCGGGCGCTCTGGTGGCAACCGTCCGCAGGAAGACAGGTGTCCCACCAGGTCCCCGAGGGGGTGGGCGAGGAGCTCCTTGGAAAGCTGCGCCACCACACGTTACCGATGAAAACACACGTGGCACACGTGCCTGGGTCCCATGGCCACACGCAGGCTCAGCGCTGAGCGGGCTCACCAGCGCCGCCCAGGGGCCGGGAGCGCCTGGTGCGCGGCGGGGCCAGGCGGGCCGGGCGGTGGAGATGCCCGGTGGCCGCGGGCACTCGGAGGCCATGGCAGAGCCAGGGTGTCCTCCTCTTGTCGCCAGCGACCTCAGGACGGAGCAGCAGCATTGCTGTGGGATGTGAAGTCTGCGGAGCACGGACGGTGAAAAACGCAGGGGACGTGACATCCCAGGGCTGTCACGCGTGCTCAGAGCGGGACACGGCACGTCCCTCGCTGCTGGCCGTCCCCTCGGAGCCGCAGTCCGGCGGGTTCCCACGCGCCCGCGGCCAGCAGGGCGTCAGGAACCTTCTGGAATCAGGAGCAGGGCCGCTCACCAGCCTCTGCATGGGAGCCAGTGAGGCGTGTCTGAGGGGCCGCACGTGGGGCCACAGCTCCGTGGCCGCGGGTCCCAGGCGGCAGTGGCCTGGGCGCCGGGGGACAGCCGCCGCCTGTGATGTCCCCTCGGGGACACGGCTTCGCCCGGACACAGCGCCCCGTTCCCCGGCCGGGACAGAGGCTGTGGCCCCCGGACTCACAGGATGCAGCCACGGTCACAGGGTTTTAACGCCTGAGAGGAGGGGGCTGGGGCTGGAAATGGAGTGAAGTCCCGGCCTCATGGTGCTCAGCCAAAACCACAGCGCCCTTCTCCGGGCAGAGCGGGCCGCCATGTGGGGGACACAGGGAGGCGGCGGCGGCACACGGGGCGGTGGGGGCTGCTGAGTGGGGGGACCGCTGTGAGCACAGGAAGCAGCTTGCTCTTTCGTGCTGCTTACTCACTGCTGCACTGTTTTCCCCACCACAGACTGTACACCCCCCATTTCCCACTAGGAAGCGGCAGGAGAGCAAACAGTCACGCAAGAATGGAAACTTGGTGCCACATACCAATAGGAGTCCACGAACGGAATGATTTTCCTAAAGTTAAACGGTTGGAAGCAGCTCTGAGGAGGGTCCTTCTGTGGGGGCTGAAGCGCCAGGCAGGGCAGCGCCCCTTCTAACTGCTAAGCACGTGAAGTGAGACCGACCGGTCTGAGGGCAAACCGAGGGGCTTCTGACCTAAGTTACTTCTGTGCCTGTTCAATGGCCCTCACGCCCGCACAGACGGCTCTGCGGGGCTTTCACAGGCTCAGAGGCGTGTGCGGGTCGGAACGGAAGCTGTGACGCAGATGGAGGCCTGGTCACGGTGCACGGTGACAGGGGGCTATTAGAGATGCCACTTCAGACAGTGTTCCACACGGAGGAACACGCGTGCACATGCGTGTGCACAGGGCACAGGGGCGTGATTCAGGGGCAGCCTGGGACAGACACCCTTGTGCCCCCAAAGAGGCTCCTCACTCATCTATATGACATGAAATAGGAATGGGGTGACATCCCGAACATACCAGTGTCATGACAACCACACACACGGCACCACACAGTCTGTAACTTGCAGACTGGCCTTTCCCACAGAGGAATGGCCGTAAGACACCCCCCCCCCCCCCCCTTTATTTTTATTTTTACCTGAGTGGCAAGAATGCAGAGGCATTAGCTCAAAGTGCACAGACAGGAAACTTCACATGTCGAGTGTTAGGCAGTTTGGAGGAAAATGCTACACAAGGGAACCTTGTTTCACGAAAGCTTTGCTAATGCTGTTACCGCCCCCACCCCCCACCCCAAGGAGATTTCCCCCCCAAAACAGTGACAGAAACTTGGTGTTGTTTGGGGGAGGGGGAGGTAACAAACCCAGCAAATACCTCTCTTCCTGCTCAGTGCAGACATTTGCACGGGTTTGGAGCAGACTGTCTTCCCAGAAGCAGCGCCTGCCCCGCCCTGCGTCTCCAGGACAGGAGCACACGCTGCGCGTGGAGCTCAGATTCTAAAACGTTCACACTCCCCACGTGGCCTGGAAGCTAAGGCGTGGACACAGCTCCGCCCGGGGCCAGGGTGCAGGGCACGTGCCCACTCTGCCACCCGGGCGGGCTGTCCTCCAGGCCATGCTGGGCGATGCCGCCACCAGCAGCCTGGTGACCTCCTTTGGCGGAGTGGTTCCTGCTGCCCCACGTCCATCCAGAGGGCCTTCGGCTGCGCGTTCTTATCTGCAGCCACCGCTCCCGTCAGCTCTGGGCTCCGATCGCCACTCGGTTCCTGACTTCCCACCGAGGTGCACGCCGCCTGCTGTAAGGCGAACGGAGGTCACACAGAGAAGGGACAGAACCGGTGGCCGTGGCGTTCCTGGGTCACATGGTCTGGTGATCAGACCAGTGATCGTCAGTGAGAGGGCACCTTTGCTTTACAACCCCGCCTGGCAGCACCTCCCGCTGGTCTGGGAGTGTTCAGTGTTTTAACATCACACATTGCTGACAAATCTCCCCCTCCCCCCTTCTCATCCACGCAGCCCCGATTTTTCTCAACCTTATGCAGGTTTCACGTGCCACGAAATATATTCCATTTGCTCGGGGCCTATTTTTGAGAAAGAAAAGATTCCAAACATTCTCGAAAGGTCAGCAATCCCAAAACCATAAAACCAATTACTTAAAATTCCCAAGCCAAACAGCCCACGCTTTCAGCACCGATTCTTGCGTGGACCTGCAGTGGGGGGTGGAGTCCGTGCAGAGCCTCAGGGGAGCCTCAGCTCAGTGGGCAACACACACACAGTAGGACACCCCGCACACAGTCTGCGGTGCTCTCAGAAGCTGTGCACACACACCGGGACAGCGTGGGGAGGGCACAGGCAGGGGGCTGTGTCCAGGCCGGCCGGGCAGGCCGAGGTCATGACATCCCGCCCAGGGCCCAGGCGGTCAGCTGCGCGGGGCGGAGCCGCTGGCCCCGTTGACCAGCGCATCCTGCTGCTCGGCTAGCGCCTGCCACTTCTGCCTGTTGTGCCTGCAGCCGTCCAGCAGCGGGGAGCAGTCGGGGGACACGCACGCCAGCGCCTGGGGAAGGAGAGAGAGCCGCCTTAGGGGGTGCCAGGCAGCAGCCGCCCCGGGTGCTGGCTGCACCGCTCCCCGTGGGCAGCCGCGCTTCCCCAGGCTCCGCCAGCACCCATGAGACCACGGCTATGCCACAAGGACGGTCCCCGGGGAGCGGGTACGAGCTGACAGAGCAAACACACGTCCAAACCACAGCACTGGCTGGGAATTAGGCGTTTTGCACAGACGTCGCTCTGCCGGTGACTGGCCTGGTTTTTGTGTTTTTCTATAAAATGTTTTTTTTCTTATCATGTACTTAAAAATCAATTTAACCCACTATTACAATAAGGATGAAATCATAATTCTCTGTGGTTTTATTTTTAGCAACTATAGTGTCATAAACATTTGGGGAAAAGGATGTTCACTGCAGATTGCTTCATAATAGAGAAGCATTGACTTGAGCACCCAACAACGGGGTTGGGGATGGGATACCATTTACATTTCAAAAGATGAGGCAGCATTTACTTCCTGGAAGCAGTTGTGTTAGGGAACATCATCACCTCGAAAATAAAGTGTCTGGAGGAGGGACTGCAATGTCCCCCAGCCCCTCCTTTTCCCTCACAGACACTGGTCTCCGGGAAACAGCTGGACAACAAGCTTCTCTGTTTAGATCAGACTTAATGTACAAAGAGCAACACCGACAGAGAGCGTGCCCGTACATGTCCTCGGGCGGACACGGGGCAACAGTCCCCATGTGCCTGCACCATTGGGACCAGCACACGGCAGGCACTCGCTAGATGGCTGCCCTCGGTGGAGTGAAGGGTCTGAGGAGTTAGCAGCCCACCAGTCTGCATGGAGATACCTCATACAGCTGCAGGCAGATGGCGTCGATGAAGCCGACCTGCATGCTGGGGATCTTGTTCTTCTTCTCCCTGTTCATCAGGTCCTGGAGCACAAGCACAGGATGGACACTCAGACCTGCAGCCACGGAAAGAGGACACTGCCCGTCCCGGGCCAGTGGAGGGCGGCCTGGCGCCTGCTCACCACCTCCTGACCTGTGCTCGTCTCCTCAGCAGTGCCAGCCTCCAGCACTGCCCGGAAAGAAGGCCTGATCCTCAGCCTTGTCTGACTTGGTGGTGACCTTCCCACATCACCCAGAACTGACCATTGCCCTAGAGCTGACCACTCCAAGGGCTGACCTCTCCTAGAGCTGACCCTGCCCTAGAGCTGACACTGTCCTAGAGCTGACCCTGCCCTAGCGCTGACACTGTCATAGAGCTGACCCTGTCCTAGAGCTGACACTGTCATAGAGCTGACACTGTCCTAGAGCTGACCCTGCCCTAGCGCTGACACTGTCATAGAGCTGACCCTGCCCTAGAGCTGACACTGTCATAGAGCTGACACTGTCCTAGAGCTGACCTTGCCCTAGAGCTGACCCTGTCCTAGAGCTGACACTGTCCTAGAGCTGACATTGTGCTAGAGCTGACATTGTGCTAGAGCTGACCCTGTCCTAGCGCTGACACTGTCCTAGAGCTGACCCTGCCCTAGAGCTGACCACTGACTTGCAGCCCATCATCACTCTAACGTTCATTGCTAATGTTGAACTGAATGATGACGTGCATTTGGAAGACACTCAGGCTGTGAGCTGAATCTGCTGTGGATCTAACACCTGCTCTGTGGGAGGTGCCGAGGCCACAGTGGGTACAACTCAAGGCCTGAGCTCCCGAGGGAGGCTCTGCAGGTGCCGCTGCTGCTTCGCCCAAGAGCTGGTGACGAGACCAGGTGGGCAGCACCGGTGTGGGAAGCACTGCGTCTGTCTGGGGCTTTACGTCAAGCACATCCTCCCTGGCTGTCACCACCACTCTGCCCTCCACTTCTGCACAGACTCTGAGCTTCAAACAGCTCGCCTCACACTGGACAACCGGGAGAGGTGATGAGACAGCCTGGGCCTGTTAACCATGGCCGTTTCCCCCGGGCCCAGTCAGTGCCCATTGGAATTGGAAAAAGAAGGCTCTATGCTTCATGTGCAGGAAAACTCGGCCCAAAGGTTCAAGAGGAGGATTTTTCTTGTATTTGAGATTCATACTGCATGTAAAAGGAAGTATGTATTAAGAAAAAAACCCTTAAAAATCTATGTGCCCCCTGGGAATTCACCCTAACAGGACGCTGACCATGGTCAGCCATGCAGATGCTTATCACGGTGCCATGTGGAATGGTGACCATTGCAAACACCCACCAAGGGAAGTGGGTAAGCGATGGTTGGACCTGTTTTATGTCACCACAATAAAAAATATATAGAGGATGGCATCGTTAGAATGAAAAGTGGCTGAGGATACTTAAATGGAAAAAGCGAATTACGAAAAAGTAGGTACAACAGGATGGGAAGTGTGTTCCTAAGAAAGACCTCCCTGACACCCAAAGAGGAGTTTATAATGCAGAAGCGTCTGAGGCGTTATTTGAAGGATTCCCAGCCACGGGGCCTCACGCTCACCATGGGTTCTATGTTGAGCTCCCTCCTCTCTTTGTCTCCTTGGTCAAAGAACTCCGCCGCCACCAGCTCTGCGATCTGCAATAGACAGCACCAGCGCTGGGTCACTGGAGGACGTCTGATCTCCAAAGTCCAGTGGCTCTTTGGAGTCTCAGATAAACAGCGTTAGGAGTTTACCGGTTTCTCAAATGTTGCTAGTTTATATAAATCGAACAAAGGGTGTACCCTGTATTTTTGACAGAAACCTTAAAAGTTACAACAGCATTTTCAATTCTTTCCAAGGACAAATAATACAAAAAACATAGGCTCAAAAGCAGTTGAAAAGAAGAAAATACAAACATTTTATATTGTATTATTAAAAAAGGATAATCCTACATAGTTGCACAGCTTTACATACTAAAACACCAAGGAGGCTTTTAAAATGCGCCAATGTTATAAACTATAGAATTAGGAGTATTTATCATGTATTAGTACATGGTAAAATGTTGATAAAAACACCAAGTTATGAATTTTGCAAACAGAATATTACTTGTACCTTTCAAGACCTATATATCTATTCCTAACACTTTTACCTACTACACCCTCACAAGAAACTATGCCCTAGATTTTGTGTAATTCATTTGTTTATTATGTTAGCATATGTGTATAGGCATTAAAAATAAATTGGTTGGTTTTATCTGTTTTTGAAATATATATGATTTTAAGCTAAACAAACAAACAAACAAAAAGGATAATAAAACCGGTCAGACCTACAGCTTTCAAACACATCAGTACACTTAGGACCAGGCAGAAACGGAAATGAAACTGTATCCCATTTGCTTTGCTTATACTGTGTTTTGCCAGGCAGAAGCTATTTTAATATTTCCATTTTTATGGAATCAAATGCATTTGTCTTTCTGTGAAGGCCTCCTCATTCCTGGCTGCAGAAGATTGCACAGTGTTCTTTTTTTTAAAAATATATTTTATTGATTTTGTACAGAGAGGAAGGGAGAGATAGAGAGTTAGAAACATCGATGAGAGAGAGTCATCGATCAGCTGCCTCTTGCACACCCCCTACTGGGGATATGCCCGCAACCAAGGTACATGCCCTTGACCGGAACCGAACCCGGGACCCTTCAGTCCCCAAGCCGACGCTCTATCCATTGAGCCAAACCCGTCTCGGCTGCACAGTGTTCTTGTTGAGCACGTGGCTTACTTCCCTGCACCAAATCCACGTGGAGTTTACCTTTGCAGACTGGACCCCACTCTGCCTCTCGCTACTGGCTGTGGAGACAGGAAAGGCACCCTTACGTCATTTAAGTCTGCCCCGGCCTGGTTATTGTAAACGCCACCTCTATTGTACAGCCAGTGTTCCGTGCAGTGTGTGACGTCCTATGGCCTCTGTGTCTGTCGCCCTCACCACCTGCTTTGATTACAGAGGTCTTACGGTGTTGCTTTGTAGGTCCAGACCCAAGCTCACCTCTCTGCCTTCCCAGGTCTGATGTGGAAGAACAAAAAGGAAACAGAAATGCCAATGCTTCCCTGTTGCACTATTAAAGGGACATGCTAACACCAATGCTAAGTGAACAGACGTGGTACTTACCAAAGTCAAACTTACCAGCCCTAGGCGTTGCCCTCTTCAAACACCTCCCCCTTATTCTAAGAGCTAATGAATCTTCCACGAAGAAAACTTATGGCCAACTGCCTGCTTGTCATGCCACTTAGAAATGACATCACAACGTCCACAAATATGCCAGAAGCCACCTTGCAGAGTGAAGACATGTCTTAGTTTGATTTTCAAAGATTACTTTCACTTCATCAAACGACATACCCGTTGCTGAATGGGCCAGGGTTTCGTGATGGCAGAGAGGTCGCACGCCGTCATCAACATCGCCCTGCAGGGGGGAGGGGGAGAAGCCCAGCAGCCCCGTTACCTCTGAGCAGCATTTGCTCTCAGCAACGGTCCCAGTGGCAGGCTAAGCCAAACCCCCTCACCTGGGAGCGGCAGTTTATAGAGGGGAAGACACAGGTTTACACAGAAATGTGACTGATGCCGGGGATCAGGGATCACTGTTTGGGTTACTCAGTGAAAAATTGGAATTTGCCCTAAAACCACCTCCATTAGCCTGAGACAGCAAAAAAGAGAAATCACTGCCGTTTGGGCAAAACCTGCTCCTTCCTTCATTCTTTCCACCTTGGTATTCCATTCTCAGCGACCACCTGATGGAAACACACTGATTACTAACGATGAGCCATTCAATCCTACAGTAACACAGTCCACTGGTAACATACCCTACTGGTGACACACCTTACTGGTCAAATAGCCTAGCACAGGCTATAGTAATATAGACTACTTTAGCACAGCCTACTGGTCACATAGCCCACTGTGACATAGCCTACTATAACACAGCCTACTATAACACAGCCCACTGTGCCACAGCCTACTGGTCACACAGCCTACAATATAACACATTCTATGGAGACACAGCCTACTGTAACACACCCTACTGTGACATAGCCTACTGAGACATAGCCTACTGTAGCAGAGCCTACAGGTCACACAGCCTACTGTGACACAACCTAGTGTAACACTGCCTACTGGTCACATAACCGACTGCGACACAGCCTACTGTCACACATCCTAGTGTAACACACCCTACTGCGACACAGCCTACTTGCCACACAGCCTACTATAACACATTCTACTGAGACACAACCTACTGTAACACATAATACTGAGACTCAGATTCCTGTGACAGTCTACTGAGACACAGCCTACTGTGACACACCCTATTGTGACACAGCCTATTGAGACATAGCCTACTGTAGCAGAGCCTACAGGTCACACAGCCTACTGTGACACAACCTACTGTAACACTGCCTACTGGTCACATAGCCGACTGTGACACAGCCTGCTGTAACACATCCTAGTGTAACACAGCCTACTTGCCATACAGCTTACTATAACACATTCTACTGAGACACAACCTACTGTAACACATAGTACTGAGACACAGATTCCTGTGACAGTCTACTGAGACACAGCCTATTGTAACACATCCTACTGGTCACACAGTTTACTGTGACACAGTCTACTGGTTACAAATCCTACTGTGACACAGCCTAGTGTCAAACAGCCTACTGTGACACATTCTACTGAGATAGAACCTACTGAGACACAGCCTACTGGTCAAACAGCTTACTGTGACACAGCCTACTGTGACACAGCCTACTGGTCACACAGCCTACTGTAACACATCCTACTGGTCACAAAGCTTACTGTGACACAGCCTACTAGTCACATAGCCTACTGTGACACAGCATACTGGTCACACAGCCTACTGTGACATAGCCCACTGTAACAGCCTACTGGTCATACATCCTACAGAGACCCAGCCCACTGTAACACATTCCACTGTGACACAACTAATGTGACACAGCCTACTGGCCTCACAGCCTACTGGTCACACAGCCTAGTATAACATAATCCACGGTAACACAGCCTACTGGTCACACAGCCTACTATAACGCATTCTACTGAGACACAACCTACTGTGACACATTCTACTGTGACACAGCCTATTGTAACCCATCTTACTGTGACACAACCTACTTGCCACATAGCCTACTATAACACATTCTACTGAGACACAGGCTACTGTGACACATTCTACTGAGACACAGCCTCCTGTGACAGCTTACTGAGACACAATCTACGCTGACACATCCTACTGGTCACACAGCTTACTGTGACACAGTCTACTGGTTACATATCCTACGTGACATAGCCTACTGGAACACATCCTACTGTGATACAGCCTATTGTAACACATCTTACTGTGTCAGCCTACTGGACACACAGCCTACTATAACACATTCTACTGAGACACAGCTAACTATGACACATTCTACTGAGACACAGCCTACTGAGACACATCTTACAGTGACACAGCCTATTGTAACACATCTTACTGTGACAGAGCCTACTGCCCAAATAGCCTACTATAACACGTTGTAGTGAGACACAGCCTATTGAGACATGCTACTGTGAAGCAGCCTACTGAGACATAGCCCACTATAACACAGCCTACTGGTCACAAAGCCTATTGTGACACCACCTACGATAACACTGCCTCTGGTCACATGGCCAACTATAACACAGCATACTGTGACACTGCCTACTGTCACACATCCTAGTCTAACACAGCCCACCGTGACTCAGACAACTGGCCACACAGCCTACTGAGACACAGCTACTGTGAAACATCCTATTGTCATTCAACCTACTGTGACACACTTTACTGCTCACACATCCTACTGTGACACAGTCTACTGGTCACAAGCCAGTGACACAGCCTACTATGACACAGGCTACTGATAAACATCCTACTGTGATGCAACCTATTGTGACAGAACCTATTGTGACACAGACTATTGGTCACACAGCCTACTATAACACATTCTACTGAGACACAGTCTACTGTGACAGCCTACTGAGACACAGCCTACTATGACACAGCCTACTAATCACACAGCCAACTGTGACACATTTTACTGAGTCACAACCTATTGTAACACATCTTACTGTTACACTACCTACTGGCCACACAGCCTATTATAACACATGCTACTGAGACACAGCCTACTGTGACACATCCTACCATGACACAGCTAATTGTAACATATCTTACTGTGAAACAGAGCCTACTATAACACATTCTACTGAGATACAGGCTACTGTGACACATTCTACTGAGACACAGCTTCCTGTGACAGCCTACTGAGATGCAGCCTATAGTGACACATCCTACAGGTCACGCAGTTTACTGTGACAGAGTCTACTGGTTAAATATCCTACTGTGACACAGCATAGTGTCACACAGCCTACTGTGACACATTCTACTGAGACAAAACCTAATGAGACACAGTCTACTGTGACATATCCTACTGGTCACACAGCTTACTGTGTCACAGCATACTGGTCATAGACTGTACAGAACACACAGCCTACTGGTCATACAGCATACAGGGCAACAGCCTACAGGGCACACAGCCTACTGTGACACATCCTATTGGTCACACATCCTACTGTGACACATTCTACTGGCCACACATCCTACTGTGACACAGCCTACTGGTCACACATCCTATTGTGACACAGCCTACTGGTCACACATCCTACTGTGACACAACCTATTGTAACACATCTTACTGTGACTCAGCCTATTGTAACACATCTTACTGTGACTCAGCCTACTTGCCACACAGCCTACAATAAAAAATTCTACTGAGACACAGCGTAATGTGACACATTCTGCTGAGACATAGCCTTCTGTGTCAGCCTACTGAGACACAGCCTACTGTGACACATCCTACCGGTCACAAGCTTACTGTGACACAGTTTACTGGTTACATATCCTACTGTCACACATCCCACTGTCACAATCCTACTGTGACACTTTCTATTGAGCCACAAAATACTGAGACACAGCCTATCACACAGCCTTGTGTAATGGAACCTACTGAGACACAGCCTACTGCTCACATAGCCTACTGTGACACATTCTACTGAGAGCCTACTGAGACGCAGTCTACTGTGACACAATCTATGGTCACCCACCCACTGTGACACAGCCTAGTGTAAAACAGCCTACTGTGACACAGCATACTGGTCACACAGCCTACTGAGACACATTCAACACTACCACATTCTACTGTGACATTCTATTGATACACAGCCTTCTGTGATACAGCCTACAGTAACAGCATACTTTGACACATTCTACTGTAAAACACCCTACTGGTCACAGATCCTACTGTGACACATTCTACTGAGACAGCCTACTGTGAAAAAGCCTACTGGTCACACAGCCCACTGTGACACATTTTACCGGTCACACAGCTTAGTGGGACACAGTCTACTGGCCACACATCCTACTGTGACACACTCTACTGTGACACAGCCTATTGAGATACAACCTGTTAAAACACATGCTACTGTGACACAGCCTACTGAGACCAGCCTACTGTAAGACCCACTACTGTGACAGTCTACTAAGACAGCTTGCTGCAGCACAGCCTACTGATATCACAGCCTACTGTGACACAGACTATTGTAAAACATCCTACTGTGACACAACATACTGGCCACACAGCCTATTATAACACATTCCACTGAGACACAGCCTACTGTGACACAGCCTACTGGTCACATAGCCTACTGTGACAAATTCTACTGAGTCACAACCTATTGTAACACATCTTACAGTGACACAGCCTATAATACATTCTAATGAGACTTAGCATACAGTGACACATCCAAATGAGACACAGTCCATTATAACACATCTTACTGTGACACAGCCTACTGGCCACATAGCCTACTATAACACATTCTACTGAGACACAGCCTACTCTGACACATCCTACTGGTCACACAGCTTACTGTAACACAGTCTACTCGTTACATATCCTACTGTGACACAACCAACAGGTCACACAGCCTACTGTGACACATCCTATTGTGACACAGCCTATTGCAATTCATCTTACTGTGACATAGCCTACCAATCTAACACACTACTCTGACATCCTACTGGTCACACAGCTTACTGTAACACAGTCTACTCATTACATATCCTACTGTGACACAGCCTACAGGTCACACAGCCTATTGTGACAGAGTCTACTGAGAGAGTAATGTGACACAACCACCGGCTACACTGGCTACTGAGACACAGTCAACTGTGAAAAAAATGCTACTGTGATGTAACCTACTGTGACAGAGCCTACTGTGACACAGCCAACTGGTCTCACAGCCTACAATAACACATTCTACTGAGACACAGCCTTATGTGACACATTCTACTGAGACACAGCCTACTGAGACACAGCG